AAGATTTTATTTATTTATTTGACAGAAGGGGGAGTGGCAGGCAGAGGGAGAGGGAGAAGCAGACTCCCCGCAGAGCAGGGGGAGCCCGATGTGGGACTCGATCCCAGGACTCTGGGATCATGACCTGAACTGAAAGCAGATGCTTAACCGACTGAGCCATTCAGGCACCCAAAGAGCCAGGTCTTTACACTCATCTCCCATCCCCATATAGCTAGCCGGTTATATCAGCATTTTATACTGGTTAAAGTCTGTTTTCCACTGATATGAAATATCTACTCATTCATGTTAAATTCTTATATATGTTTGATTCTATTTCAGGGTTCTCAGTTAAATTCTGTTTGTTTCTCTTTCTTCCTATACTGGTACTCACTTTTTTTTTTTTTTAAGATTTTAATCATTTATTTGAGAGTGAGAAAGTGAGAGAGAGAGAGAGCACAAGAGGGGGGAGGGTCAGAGGGAGAAGCAGACTCCCCGCTGAGCAGGGAGCCCGCCGGGGACTCTGGGATCATGACCTAAGCCAAAGGCAGCCGCTTAATTGAGCCACCCAGGCGCCCCTATTTTTACTACCATATTTTTAAAATTACTATAGGTTTGGGGTGCCTGGCTGGCTCAGTTGGAAGAGCATGTGACTCTTGATCTTGGGGTTGTGAGTTCAAGCCCTACTTGGGGTGTAGAGATTACTTAAATAAACTTGTTAAAAAATAAAGTTACTATAGGTTTTATAATTTTTTTAAGTTTATCCAGAATTTTCTCCTTATTTAATGAAGTCACAGCTTTTTCTAAAGGGATTTGGTAAGGAAGTGGGGGAGAGGATAGTTAGACCTGAAAGACAAATGGAATAGCCTTATTTATTGGACCTTTATTTGAGAGGAGTCAGGGAAAATATTGGCTTTAAAACTAGTTCTCAAGTGGGTATGACTGGAATCAACGTGGGATCCACGTATCAGCAGCACACTGCTCCCACCATTGATAAATGATCTATTGGGCTAAGGAACTCAAGATCCTCTTCCATCATTTGTGAGCTCTTTTGTCCTATTTGGCTTCTGCTTACTTTTCTACCTGTTGTTCTCTGTCTTTCTATAGATTGGAGCTAAACATGGTGTTATTTACTTGATAACAAAGTATGGCTATCTTCATCTGTATGACCTAGAGTCTGGCGTGTGCATCTACATGAACCGTATTAGTGCTGACACGATCTTTGTCACTGCTCCACAGGAACCTACTTCTGGAATTATCGGTGTCAACAAAAAGGGACAGGTATGGAACTTTGAGGGTTCATCTCCCACCTTTTCCATTCACTGGGGACTGGAGCTTAACTTTTCCTCCTTCTTCAGGAAAGTGGTCAAATATAATTAGCTCCTGTTATTCAACTTACACCCATGTCTCCCTTCTGCTTCCTACCATCACTTTGCCTCTCAGACAGCACCATTCTTAACATAGGATCAATTCTGAGAAGAGTACCTCCCTTCCTGCACGAAGCTTCTACCAATGGAGCAGTGGTTCTGATACACACCACTAACATGTTCAGGCCAGGCACAGATTGATTGGGGAGGGTTGAAAAGCAGGTACTATGCTACCTAAATTACCTTTCTAAAGTCAAAAAGACAGTAAAAGAAGGAAATCTGTGCTTTAAAAAAAGAACATTGAGACGAAAAACTGTCAGTTTCTCCCACCCAAATAGGCCATTTTGGCAGAGTCATCTTGAATGCATCACTGGTCAGTGTGCACGCAACTTGGTATTCTTCTCACTTGACCATGCTGTAGCTCGACCATGATACTCTGCTGTGTTGCCATTAAGTGTTTGGCTCCTGTACATCCTGTCACTGTTAGAGCCAGTGTTCTGGGCATACGCAGGATGAGCCTTAGAACTTTGCTGATACTGCAGTGCCTGCGAGCAGAATGTGGGCAGTACGTGTATATGGAGCACTTTTCTAGGTTAGGCCAGTCTCACTTGTTGGGTCTTTATAGGTGCTGTCCATTTGTGTCGAGGAAGATAACATTGTGAATTATGCAACCAATGTGCTTCAGAATCCAGACCTTGGTCTGCGTTTGGCCATTCGTAGCAACCTGGCTGGGGCGGAGGAGTTATTTGTGAGAAAATTCAGTACCCTCTTTGCACAGGGGAGCTATGCTGAAGCCGCCAAAGTAGCAGCATCTGCACCAAAGGTAATGGCCCTCAAATGCTGTGCGCCAGTCTGGGAGTGAAATAAATTATAAAAGCATTCCACTACTGATGTTGGAGTATCTTAACTGTTTTGTTAGTTGTATTAGCTTTAAAATTTTGCGCCAGTGGCATGACAACAATGAGACAAATCAATGAAAAGCATGATTCTGCTGCAACAACATTTTTTAAAAATTCTGTCTCAGTTCTTATCTATGTGCATACGTATTTCACACCCAGCTTCTTAGCATAGAAAATGCAGAGCTATATTATATATCAAGTGGTTGTACTGTGTTTCGTTTAGTCACATTCTACTCTGGACCTTGTCCACTCATCTGGAGTGTAACAGTACTGCTTAGGGCATGTTCTTTGATTTATTTCATTAGGATAATGTCCTGGGGCCTAGTTCTGCTTCTGAGCAGATAAAGGGTTTTGAGTTGCTTCTCCTTGAAAGGGATTTTTCTGTCTTTCAAGTGATGCTTAATGAGCAAACAATTTCTAACCATTTCTAGTCTTCACCCAGGACTTTGAGTATTTTGAATTAGAATGTAATGGTGGTAGAACTTCACTACTGCAAGGCTGATTTAGAAGCCTAATTCTCACCTTTGCTAGAAGTCACCTGTGAGACTGAGACCCACTGTTTTTGTGGTCTTTTTTTTTTTTTTTTAA